TAATGTAAATTGGCTAAATGTCCCGATTACAAGGCACAGGTTGACAAGGTGGATAAAGAACCAAGATTCGATGGTATGCCAACAGACTCATCTCACATGCAATTACATCCAAAGGCTCAAAATAAAGGGATAGAGAAAAACCTACCAAGCAAATGAAAAACAGAAAAAAAGAGGGGTTGCAATCCTAAATCAGATAAAACAGACTTAAAAAAAAGAAAGAAAGAAAAGACAAGGGCATTATATAATGGTAAATGGTTCAATTCAGTAAGAAGACCTAACTATCCTAAATATATATGCACCCAACACAGGAGCACCCAGATTCACCAAGCAAGAGCTCAGAGACCTTCAAAGAAACTTAGACTCCCACACAATAACAGTGGGAGAATGCAATACCCCATGACAGTGTTAGATCATTAAGGCAGAAAATTAACAAAGATGCTCAGGACCTAATCTCAGCACTGAACCAAATGGACCTGATAGACATCTACAGAACTCTCCACCTAAAAACAACAGAATATACATTCTTCTCATCACCTCATGGCATATACTCTAAAATCAACCACACAATTGGACACAAAACAATCTTCAGCAAATGCAAAAGAACTAAAATAATAACTACTTTCTTGGACCACAGTGCAATAAAATTAGAAATCAAGACCAAGAAAATCGCTCAAAACCATACAATTACATGGAAATTAAATAACCTGCTCCTGAATGACTTTTCAGCAAATAATGAAATTAAGGCAAAAATCAAGAAGTTCTTTGAAACTAATGAGAACAAAGAGACAATATACCAGACTCTCTGGGACATAGCTAGTGTTAAGAGGGAAGTTTACAGCACTAAACACCTACATCAAAAAGTTAGAAAGACCTCAATTTACAAAGTACATCACAACTAAAAGAACTAGAGAATGAAGAGCAAATCAACTCTAAAGCTAGCAGAAGACAAGAAATAACCAAAATCAGACCTGAACTGGAGACTGAGACACACAAAAAACCATTCAAAAGATCAATAAATCCAGGAGTTGGTGTTTTGAAAAAAAAATTAGTTATCTATTTAATAGACAGCCAGCTAGACTAATAAAGAAGAGAGAAGATCCAAGTAAACACAATTAGAAACAACAAAGAAGATATTATCACTGACGCCACAGAAATATGAATACCTCTATGGACACAAACTAGAACATCTAGCTGGAATGGATAAATTCCTGGACATATACACTCTCCCAAGACTGAACCAGGAAGAAATTGAATCCCTGACCAGACCAATAATGCGCTCTGAAATTGAATCAGTAATAAATAGCCTACCAACAACAACAACAACAAAAAAGCCAAAACCAAATGGATTCACAGCCAAACTCTACCAGGTATACATAGAAGAGCTGGCTCCATTCCTACTGAAGCTATTCCAAAAAACTGAAGAAGACGGACTCCTTCCTAACTCATTCTGAGGCCAGCATCATCCTGATACCAAACCTGATGAAGACACAACAACAATAATAGCAAAAACCTCAGACCAATATTGTTGATGAACATTGATGCAAAAATCCTCAAGAAATACTGGTAAACTGAATCCAGCAGGAAATCAGAAACTTATCCACCACGATCAAGTAGGCTTTATCCCCGGGTTGCAAGGTTGGTTCAACACATGCAAATCAATAAATGTGATTCATCACATAAATGGTACTAAAGACAAAAACCATATGATCATCTTAATCAATGAAGAAAAGGCTTTTGATAAAATTCCATATCCCATCATATTAAAAAAAAACTTTGACTAAACTAGAAGTTGAAAAAACATATCTCAAAATAGTAAGAGTCACCTAGGACAAACCCACAGCCAACATCATACTGAATGGGCAAAAGCTAGAAGCATGCCGCCTGAAAACTTGCGTAAGACAAGGATGCCCTCTCTTACCACTCCTATTCAACATAGTATTGGAAGTTGCAATCAAGTCAGAGCGATCAGGTGAGAGAAAAAAAGAAAGGGCATCCAAATAAGAAGAGAGGAAGTCCAACTATCCCTGTTTGCAGACAGCATAATACAATATCTAGAAAACCCCACAGTCTTGGCCCACAAGCTCCTTAAGCTGATAAACAACTTCAGCAAAGATCCAGGATACAAAATCTGCATAAAAAAATCACTAGTATTCCTATACACCAACAACAGTCAAGCTGAAAGCCAAATCAGAAATGCATTCCCATTCACAACTGTCACAAAAAGAATAAAATACCTAGGTATACAGCTAACCAGGGAGGTGAAAGATCTAAGGAAAACTACAAACTACTGCTCAATGAAATCAGAGGTGACACAAACAAATGGAAAAAGATTCCATGCTCATGAATAGGAGAAATCAATATTGTTAAAATGGCCATAATGCCCAAAGCAGTGTATAGATTCAATGTTATTCCCATCAATCTGCCAATGACATTCTTCATGGAAGCAAAAGAAACTATTTTAAAATTCATACAGAACCAGAAAGAGCCTAGACAACCTAAGCATAAAGAGCAAAGCTGGAGGCATCAGGCTACCAACTTCAAACCATACTACAGGGCTACAGTAACTTTATGGTACTGGTATAGAAACATACACACAGACCAATGGAACAGAATAGAGAGCCCAGAAACAAGGCCACACACACCTACAACCATCTGATTTTTGACAAAGCTGACAAAAACAAGCAATGGGGAAAGGACTTCCTATTCAATAAATGTTGCTGGGATAACTGGATGTCATATGCAGAAGATGGAAACTGGACCCCTTCCTTACACCACAGACAAAAATCAACTCAAGATGGATTAAAGATTTAAATGTAAAACGCAAAATGATAGAACCCTGGAAGACAACCGTGGCAGTATCATTCAGGACATAGGCATGGGCAAAGATTTCATGACAAAGATGACAAAAGCAATTGCAACAAAGCAAAAACTGACAAATGGGATCTAATAAAACTAAAGAGCTTCCGTATAACAAAAACTATCCACAGATTAAACAAACAACCTACAGAATGGGGGAAAATTTTTGCTAACTATGCATCTGACAAACGTCTAACAGCAAGCATCTATAAGGAACTTATATTATTTACAAGAAAAAAACAAGCCCATTAAAAAAGTGGGCAAAGGACATAAACACTTTTCAAAAGAAGACATACACATGGCCAACAAGCATATGAAAACAAAGCTCAGCATCACTGATCATTAGAGAAATGTAAATCAAAACCATAATGAGATTATCATCTCACACCAGTCAGAATGGCTATTACTAAATCATCAAAATATAACAGATGCTGGTGAGGCTGCAGAGAAAAAGGAACCCTTATACACTGTTGGTGGGAGTGTAAATTAGTTCAACTACTGTGGAAAGCACTGTGTTGATTCCTCAAAAAGCTAAAAGGAACCACCATTCAACTCAGCAATCCTGTAACTGTGTATATACCAAAAGGAATAGAAATCATTCTATCATAAAGACACATGCACACATATGTTCACTGCAGCACTATTCACAATAGCACAGACATGAAATTAACCTAAATGTCCATCAATGGCAGACCAGATAATGAAAATGTGGTACATATGCACCATGAAATACTATCCAGCCATAAAAAAGAATAAGATCATGTCCTTGACAGGAAGATGAATGGAGCTGGAGGCCATTATCCACAGCAAACTAACGCAGGAACAGAAAACCAAATACCACATGTTCTCCCTTAGCAGTGGGAGATAAATGATGAGAACATATGGAAACATAGAGGGGAACACCACACAGTGGGGCCTACCTGAGGGTGGAAGGTGGAAGGAAAAAGAGGACAAGGAAAATTAACTATTGGGTTCTAGGCTTAAAATCTGGGCAATGAAATCATTTGTGCAACAAACCCCAGTGACAAGAGTTTTACCTATATAACAAACCTGCACAAGTAACCTTGAACTTAAAAAAGAAAGAAAATGAATATTCTAAAATAGAATACTGTAATAGGAAGAACAAGGACTCATTCTTTACTGAAAATAATCAGCCGGGCGTGGTGGCTCACGCCTGTAATCACAGCACTTTGGGAGGCCGAGGCGGGCGGATCACGAGGTCAAGAGATCGAGACCATCCTGGCCAACATGGTGAAACCCCGTCTCTACTAAAAATACAAAAATTAGCTGGGCGTGGTGGCGTACGCCTGCAGTCCCAGCTACTCAGGAGGCTGAGGCAGGAGAATTGCTTGAACCCGGGAGGCAGAGGTTGTAGTGAGCCGAGATTAAGCCACTGTACTCCAGCCTGGCACCTGGCGACGGAGCAAGACTCTGCCTCAAAAAAAAAAAAAATTTATTTTGAATAATTAATTGGTTATTAGGGGAGAGGAGAAAAAATTTAAAAAAGCAAAACCAGGGATATTTTGGTTTAGGAAATAAACCAAAGGAAAAAAATCTCGAGTTCGAGTTTAATTGTATCACCAACTCAATTTTTAATAAACAGTTTAATTATAATATACAAGAAGAAATTATTCATATTTAAAGAATTTCTCACTTTGAGAGGCCAAGGCAGGTGGATCACCTGAGGTCGGAGTTCGAGACCAGCCTGGCTAACATGGTGAAACCCCATCTCTACTAAAATAAAAAATTAGCCAGGTGTGGTAGCACATGCCTTAGTCCCAGCTACTTAGGAAGCTGAGGCAGGAGAATCACTTGAACCAGGGAGGCGGAGGCTGTAATGAGCTGAGATCAAGCTACTGCACTCTAGCCGGGGTGACAGAGTGACACTCTGCCTCAAAAAAAAAAAAAAAAAAAAAAAAGAATTTCTTCCCAGTTATCTTTCCACATTAATTTTTTTGAAAACAGGCAGGAGGTAAATAGAGTCAGAAAATCTGTCTTGTCACTAGTTATATGACCCAGAGAAAATGCTGGAAGAATTCTTCCTCTTTGTTTTTACTACCATAATTCTTGTCCCAAAATACTCTTCTGATGCTTACGTAAGACAATGTACAGAAAGTGTTCTCAACTACTATTATTAGAATTACCTTGCTGATTCTGGATCCAAAATCAGGGCTTCTATTGCATGAGATATCAGTAAACAGCTCTGCTGCTGTCTGGATTGATGTTAAGGTTATACACAAAAACAGAGAAGAAACCCCCTATAGGTTTCTATTATCTGAATATTAAATGGGTTAAGATTTAACGATTGCCTAGTGAAGGTAATCATAATGTTAGCAACTTGAATGGTCTGGGGCTGTAACTTTTATATCAATGTGTAAGGGATATACATTGTCTCTAACAGTGATTCTCAAACTCTGTTCCAAGAAGGGTACTTCAGAGGCTACTACTGTGGGAAGGGGAAACTAAGTGACAGGCCCTGTGATTCAATCATAGCAACTCTGATTTTAGATATAGGGGTTTTTCATAACAGTTTGAGACAAACAAATAAAGGTTTCACCAATAAAAGTTAAAAAACAAAAACAAAAACAGAGTGGTCTAAGGAGTCTTTATCCCAGAAGTTCCTAATCTAGAGCTCAAGGGGTCTGACAACTCCCTTGAACTTATATGCACATTTTGGTTGTGTGTGCACATACACATTTTGTAGGGCAGAGGGCCCACAGCATTCACTGGGTTTCAATCAGTAAACTAAATGCCAAGAACTACCGACTAGTTAAGTCCTACAACTTAAAAAAAGAATTTCAATTCCTTCCTTTCAAAAGTAATTTGAAGTTACTAATAAGAAAATACAGCGAACTTAGGAAGGATTTAAAAGTGACAAATAGGCTGGGTGCAGTGGCTCACTCCTATAATCCCAGCACTTTGTAGGCTGAGGCAGGCTAATCACTTGAGGCCAGGAGTTTGAGACCAGCCCAGCCAACATGGTGAAACCCTGTCTCTACTAAAAATACAAAAAGCCAGGTTATGGTGGCATGTGCCTGTAATCCAGCTACTAGGGAGGCTGGGGCAGGAGAATCAGTTGAACCCAGGAGGCTGAGTTTGCAGTGAGCCAAGATCATGCTACTGCACTCCACCTTAGGCAACAGAGTGAGACTGCAACTCAAAAAAAAAAAAAAAAAAAAAAAAGTGACAACTAATGCTACTGAGGAGATCATTAATAAAGGAGATGAAACATGTTTTTTGGTAGGAAAATGTGTTTAGTTGTCTGTTGTAGCTCAAGTGAGCACAGATAAGCAACACTGGCTTTGCATGTTGCTTTGGATGCACTTCCTGAATATAAAAAAAGACACCTTTGAGTTACCATTTTTTGTTAAAATCCTGGGTAAAGTTAAAAAGTAAGATAATTCTGCTCAAAGATTTCAAAGGGGAAACTATATAATAAATTTGTAGGCTTATCTAATATGTATTTTGTAGGTAAGCACAGCTGACGTAGTCTATATTTAAAAGAAAACTTAAAAAAAAAAAAAAAACAAACAAAAAAAAACAAGAAATACTGGGTCAAGCTTGGGATATAGTTCGACGTTCCTCAAAGTTGCTGAGTCAGCATCAAAAGAGGCCTGGTAAAGATCCCCATATCGAGAAGCAAGGCTCCGAAATTCCTCCATGGACTGTTTCATCTATTAAAAAATGTATCAGTTATGACAAACAAACATGCTATCATTATTATATAAACAACACAAAAATCAAAACATTAAAAAAAGCACCTTCAAACAATAACAATTCAAAAAATACTCCAATATTTTCATTGTCATTCCATTCATTTTTATAAACTTCATTAAATAAAAACAAAAATGGCAAATGGCAAATGAAACTATACATGTTCACAAGATTATTACATATGACATATAGAAACAAAAAAAATTTGTATTTTAGATTCAAGTTCCACTAAAATAATTTAGTTATAAACATTCTGAAGTCTTTTAAAAAATTCTATGTCCTTTCTCTTTATATAAATATCTAGCACTCATAGATACCATTAATTACTTTATTATTCTAATAACACATCAGTCTATTTGGCCAGACAGCTGAGTTAATAAACATTTATGATAATATCTGAGTTAAACCACTGATTTTAAATTTCACAACTTTTTATCTTATAACTAACTTCAAAAACCTCTTCAAAAACCTCTAAAGTGTAAATAAAAAGTGCACTGAAAGTTAAGACCTGCCTGATTGGAGATTCGACCACACCTCTGAAGGTCATTTCCTAGGGTCATGGCAATTGTTGTGGCAATTGCAGGTGGGGGGCTTGTTTTTAGGCTATTACAAGTACAGATAAGTTGAGAGAAGGCTTGTAGAAGGTCAATCCTGAGTTTTACAAATTCACATTGAAAACTTAAAGGATTCAGTGGTGTGCTAGCTGCCTGAAAAAAAAAAAAAAAGAGAGATATTTAAGACAAAGTAAACATAACAGTGAGATGGGGCAGTACCAAGTATTTATAAGTTTGTGGTCAAGTACAGTAGTTCTCTAACAACACTGATGGATAAAGACCTAAATGATAAAAAGAATAATGTAATATTAGAATGAAAAACATTGTTATTAAACACCAGCTCTGAAAAACTGTATGTACTATCACTAGTCATAGGTTCCTTACTTCCTACATTCACAATATGTGGGTTGTCAAGAACATCATCAAGAAGGTAATCACATGAAGAATGCTTCAAGGACATTACCATCCCCCAAAATCCCCTATTTGCTACCTTTCCAATCTGAAATTCCCATCACTGGAACCTTGAAAAGTTGGGGGCAGAAAGAGAAAGAAAGATAAGGGCAGGAAAAATATGTTTCTAGACAGTCGCAGCTTTAAATAAAGGAACACTGCCTCAAAGTTACCCTCTTCTACTGCTAGCCCAAATTTCTTTTTTTTTTTTTTTGAGACAGGGTATCGTTCTGTCACCCAAGCTGGAGTGCAGTGGCGCAATCATATCTCACCGCAGTCTCAACTTCCTGGGCTGAAATGATCCTCCTACCTGAGTTTCCTGAGTAGCTGGGACTAAGGGTGCGCACCACCATGCCCAGATAATTTTTTTGTAGAGACGGGGTCTGACTATGTTGCCCAGGCTGGCCTCAAACTCCTGTAGCCCAGATTAATTTTAAAAACAATTTCTGGGCCAGGTGCGGTGGCTCATGCCTGTATCCTGCCACTTTGGGAGGCCGAGGTGGGCGGATCATGAGGTCAGGAGTTCGAGACCAGCCTGACCAACATGGTGAAATGCTGTCTCTACTAAAAATACAAAAATTAGCTGGGCCTGGCAGTGCACACCTGTACTCCCAGCTACTCAGGAGGCTGAGGCAGGAGAATCACTTGAACCCGGAATGCGGAAGTTGCAGTGAATCGAGATTGTGCCAGTGCACTCCAGCCTGGGCAACAGAGTGAAACTCCATCTCAAAAAGAAAAAAAAATGTCTGACTAGACACTTCAGAAAGCACAGAGAGGCCACCAAGGAAGAAGAGGTTCTAACACACAAATTTAAATTTTGATGAGGATGGAGAGGTGTCAGGGGTAAGTCTTGGGTAGCATTAGCTAGGTAGAAAAGGTAAAAAAATGGTAAGGCAAGCCAGGGTGGGCAGAGAACTAAGAAAACCTTCAACTGTTTAGCAACTGTCCTAGTGGAGATCCTAGCACTGTGTTTTTAACAAAAGGCACACACTAAAAATGTACTAATTTAACAATAAACGAAGGCATAGTGAAAATCTTCCTCTATGACGTGACCCATTTAAAACATGCTGAGGCTGTTTCTTAAATACTATCTCACATTAGTCTTTTAGCAAAAGAGCCAGATATGGTTTTGGGTTTCTAGAAGTCAGTTACAAATATTATCTATATGGCCAATTTTACCTCATATTGACCTTAGTATAGCTGTCTTTACTATTAAATGTCAAATGATCTGTTTTATTATTTGGTAGCATTCACATTTTACTCCACAAATTTAGTAAACCACTCACCACATCCTTTTAAAGAACGTATGCTTGCTATAGTATTATTCTCAAACTGCAAAGGCCCTTGATGAAACATTTTATGTAAGGTAGAGGTAATAACTATACTTAATATATTTAATTCTGTGGTTTTCCATGTTCAGAATATTTTGTTGTAATCATGAACAGCACAGATCAGGACATTAAAGCGACTACTTCAATTGTTTTTAATTTCTTAGATGAGATCTGATTTGCTGTTATAGGAAGATAAATCCCCCGCCTCCTCTGCCTCTTACGCTGCTATTTGCTGTTTTAAATTTATGTTTCTCAGCAACTTCAAAAGGGGCAGGGGTACAAGCAGGTTTACATGATACTGTTATATAAATACTACTAACCATCTTAACAGACAAAAAATACTGGCAATATTGTTCTACTTTGAAAGAGAAGTAAGATGTTGTAGTGAAGATCTGCTGCTACTCTGGATTTATCTCTAACAAGAAATATTTATTGATGATAACCTTAAAAGTGATTGTGCCATCCCAGACCATGCTATACCGAAGGAAAGCACTGTTACATACAGTACATGTGTTCAAAAAGAACACAGAAAGAGAGACAGATTTGTGGTAAAGGTCAAAGACTTTTACTTAAAAGGTAATATAATCCAATAACAATGAGAGATGTTTAAGAAATAAAATTTAGACTACAGAAGTGTGAATAATGCCAATGAAAAATAAAGGGATCTCATTTCCCTTTCTTTCCACTGGGGCTAAAGCTTTAACAGAGGTTGGGTTCTAACATCAGGTGACAATCAAAATTACCCCTGAAAATTCCTCAGGAATGAGTTATTTCCAGTTATTTCAACAAAGCCAGATGAAGAAACAACAAACTCAGAATTCTTTTCTAATGCTCATTCTGGAATACAAGCTCACTGAGAAGAATGGCTGGCAGAATTGTCTCCACTATGCAAATAGTTATTTTTTTTTTTTGCTAAACATATACAGTACAGTCAAATTTGTGTTAAACACGCATATTAGTATTTCGCTGAATTTCTGATTTGTATTACATATATTGTTTTCTAAGCAGACTCGCTAAAGAAATCACTATAGCTGGAAAAAAGCTACCTGATAAGCTCATTGTATTATTGTGAAAGAAGTCTCCAGAACTTTTCTCATCTTGCAGAACTGAAACTTTATGCTCATTAAACAACAAACTCCCCCTTTCCCTTTGCCTCAAGCCCCTGGCTACCACTATTCTACTTTCTGTTTTTATGAATTTGACTACTTTAGATATCACATAAGTCGAATCATATAGTATATGTGTTCTGTGACTGGCTTATTTCACTTAGCATAACGTCAGTTTTTAAAAAAATAAGCCAAGCCTAAAGCTAGAGTAAGCTAGATTAAACCAGCCCTCCTGCTAAGACCAACTGGGAAAGTAGAACGAAGTATTAAAAGTATCTATGTGAAAGCACTGAAGAACCACTAAGCTACTAAGGAACTGTGGAGCCAAAATCATGAAGAGAAGGGAAACCCAAAAAGGTAACACTGACATGCACTAATTTGAAAACTGCAACTGAAAAGCTGAGCAGAGCTTTCGGCAGTCAGTCCCCTAAAACTAGAAAGGATTATGGAAAATACTTCAGGCTTTCTGCTGTAACCTCAAAGAACTATGCCCTAGGAATCAGGAGAACCCAAAAACATGCTGGCTCTCACAAAGACTGAAGTCTAGCTTTCAGTCAGTTCAATCCTTGGCTAAATTAAGGTGATCTGTCCTTAGCCTAAGTGCCTGTCAAAAGCAAAGAAAAATAATTTAAGGTTCTGATAATGTAATACCTATCAATTTTTAAACGCACTGTCCAAAACTCAATAAAAAATAACCAAGCGGCCAGGAGTGGCGCCTCACGCCTATAATCCCAGCACTTTGGGAGGCCCAGGTGGGCAGATCATGAGGTCAAGAGTTAGAGACCAGTCTGGCCAACACAGTGAAACCTGGTCTCTACCAAAAATACAAAAACATTAGCTAGGTGTGGTGGTGCACAGCTATAAGCCCAGCTACTTGGGAGGCTGAGGCAGGAGAACTGCTTGAGCCCAGGAGGTGGAGGCTGCAGTGAACTGAGATTGTGCCACTGCACTCCAGCCTGGGTAACAGAAAAAGACTCCATCTCAGAAAAAAATAAAATAAAATAACCAAGCATGCAAAAATGACAAAACTCCCCAAGCCAAGAGCGGGAAAAAAAAAAAGGTCAAAAACACAAACAACAATAAATCCAGATACCAGAGATATCAGATATGAACTTTAAAATAACTATGATTAATATGTTAAAAAAATTAAATGACAAGATAGAGAAACCTAGTTGAAAAGTGGAAAATATAAAATAACCCAATGGAAATTCTGGGACTAAAAATATATTAGGTTACTGCAAAAGTAATTATGATTTTTGCCACTATTTGTATTAATAAATGAAATTAAGAATGTAATAAATGGGTTTAACAGCAGATTAAACAGTGAAAAAAATTAATGGACTAGAAGATAGGTCAGGAGAAAACATCTAGAGGAAAATACAGCGAGATAAAAAGACGGAAAATGTAGAAGAGAATGTAAGAGATATATGAAACTTGGTAAAAAGAATTAACGTAGGTCCAACTGGAACCAAAAAAAAAAAAAAAAAAAAAAGGGACAGATGCAATATCTAAAGAAATAATGGCCAGGTACAGTGATTCATGCCCGTACTTTGGGAGACTGTAATCCCAGCACTTTGGGAGACTGGCTCGAGGCCAGGAGTTCAAGACCAGCTTGGGCAATAAACCAAGACCCCATCTCTACCAAAAGTAAAAAAAAAAAATTAGCTGGGTGCAATGGAAGAGTTTGAGGCTACGGTGAGCTATGATCATGCTGCTGTACTCCAGCCTGGGCAACAGATTGAGACCCTTGTCTCAAAAAAAAAAAAAAAAAGAAAAGAAAAAGGAGAGAGATAATGGCCAAATATTCCAAAATGGATCAGTCAACAAGCCATGTATTCGAAAAGCTCTACAAAAGGCAATTTGCATTTAGTGCTGGTTAAACTGGAAACCAACATGGGCAACTGGTTAGCAGTTACCTACTAAAGCTGAACCTAAGTATATCCTATGATGAAGCACTACCACCTAGAAGAAAGGTACATCTGTATCAAAAGTCATGTATAAGAATGTTCATAACTGACTTATTCTTAACAGACTCAAACTGGAAATAACCCAAATATTCCTCAACAATAAAATGGTAAATAGATTGTACAACAGTCACCCAATGGAATACTCTGCAGCAATAAAAATAAATGAACAATTGCCATACACAACAAAAAGCATGAATGAATCATAATATATAGACAGTGCTGAGCAAAAAAAGCTAGAATCAAACGAATAATACTGCATGCTTTAAATAATGTTGGAAAACAAGGCAAAACTAAGCCATAGTTTTAGAAATGAAAACAGTGGTTACTTCTTGGGAGAAAGACAAAGGTAGTAACTGGAATGGGGATGGAGTAGAGAAATCAACATAAAATACACACCACTTAAAAAAACATGAGTATCTTAGATTACACTAAAATTAAAAACTGCTATTCATCAGAATATAAAAAGCAGGAAAAAAAGCCACAAATCAGATAATATCTGCATTTCATACAACCTACAAAAGATTAGTATTCAGAACATATAAAGTACTCTTATAAACCAGTAAGAAAAGACACACGAACTAGTAGGAAAATGAGCAAAAATCTTCAGCAGGAGCTTCACATAAAATAAAACACAAATGGCCAAACATATGAAACAAATGTCTAATTGTATTAGTAATCTGGGAAAAGCCAATCATAAGCTTTAGAACCTACCAGACAAAGAGAAAAATGTAGGGCAACAGGAACCCTTATACACTGTTGGGAGAACTGTAAACTTGTAAAGCCACTGGGGGAAACCTGGTATTAGCTAGTCAATTTAAAGATGCACATAACCTGTGCAATTCCACTCTTAGGTAACATCTTACAGCAATATCTCTAAACAGGAACAGGAATATTCCTAGCATTTCAGGAGATTAGGTATTTAGCTGCTGACCATTACTGCCAGTAGCAATGCCCCCCAACTCCCCATCACTGTGACAAACAGAAACATCCACACACACTTCTAAATTGGAGCAAGGGGCAGATACGCAGCTCTGACTGAGGTTCACTGCCCTAGAGAAGGGTTTTCAACCTGACTACTACTGACATTCTGAACTAATTCTTTGTTGAGGGGAGCTTTCCTGTGCATTGCCTCTGCACTACATACCAGTAACAACTGGACAAGTGGTGAGAACCAAAAAAGGCTCCAGATACTGTCAAATATCCCCTGGAGGATAAAACCATCCCTGGTTGAGAACCACTGTCCTAGACAAACCTTTGCATTAAGTGCATCAAAAGATATGTACGACAATGTTCAGAGCAGTATGTTGGTAACAGCAAGAAACTGGAAAAAATCAAAATGCTTATCAATACTAGAATGGGAAAATAAATTGATGTATATTCTTATGATGCAAGACTATATTGCAGGGAAATTGTCCTACAGCTTCCTGCAACAAAATGGATGAATCTTAAGAACATAATTTAGATGATCAAAGCAAATCAAAGAAAAATATGATTCCTTTTTATATAAAATTCAAAGACAAGCAACATAAAACAGAACCTTGCTTAGAGTTACAAAAAAGCATGCTGAAATTATAAAGAAAGACCTGGGTGTGGTGGCTTATGCCTGTAATCCTAGAACCTTGGGAGCCTGAGGCAGGTGGATCACCTGAGGTCAGGTGTTCGAGACCATGGCAAACATGGTGAAACCCCATCTCTACTAAAAATATAAAAATTAGCCGGGCATGGTGGAGAGCACCTGTAACGCCAGCTACTCAGGAGGGTGAGGCAGGAGAATCACTTGAATCTGGGAGGTGGAGCTGCACTGAGCCAAGATTGTGCCACTGCACTCCAGCCTGGTGACAGAGCTAGACTCAAAAAAAATAATAAAAAAAAAGAAATTATAAAGAAAGGCAATGAAACAGTAAACACAAGATTCAGAGTACTGGTTACCTTTGTGGGAAGGAAACAGTATACAAACATGGAGGCTCACATAAGAATTTTACCTTTTTTTTTTTTTTTTTTTTAGAGACAGGGTCTTGCTATGTAGCCCAGGCTGAAGGGTAGTGGCTATTCACAAGCATATAAGAATTTTAAAGGCAATGGTAATGTCCTATTTTCTAACTGGGTGTTTGGATATTTGTTGTATTTTTTAATGCCTTACATAACATATATGTAGTTATTATGCCTATTCAATATTTAATAACAAAAATTAAAAATAAATGATTTTTTTTAAAACCTCACTATTGTAGGCAGAATGCTAAGCTGGTTCCTCTGGTTCAAGTCCCCTGGTATCCACACCTTACGCAGGCTGATTATCACTAATTTGAAAACCTAAAATCTGAAATGATCCAAATTCTGAAATGATCCAAAATCTGAAATTGACGTAATGTTCAAAGAAAATGTTCATTGGAGCATTTCAAATTTTGAATTAGGAAGACTCAACTAGCATAATGCAAATATTCCAAAAATCCAAAAAAAAACTCAAAATACAAAACACTCCTGGTTCCAAGCATTTTACATAAGGAATACTAAAGCTACAGCATCTTCTTTTGAAGGTGGGTAGTACCTACAACTTGCTTCTAACTAATGGAATATGACAAAAATTATGAGATCTGGAGGATATAGTTTAGGTCCCTAATGAATTGACTTTATATTAGTAGAAAGGGAGATCATTCTGTGTGAATCTGATCTAATCAGTTGAGGCCATTAAAAGAAGGTGAGAGATTCTCTTTCTGGTCTGGAAGAACCAAGCTTCCACAAGTTCTGCAACTGCAAGGAAATATATTCTGCAACAAATCCATGATCTTAGAACAGGACTCAGCCTCTTTGAGCCTCAGATATCTGTGACTGGCCCTCACAGACACCTTGATTGCAGTTTTGTGATACCATGAGCAGAGGACCCAGCTAAGCCATGCCTGGACTACTACTACTACTTATTTTTATTTTTTTGGAGACAGAGTCTCACTGTGTTGCCCAGGCTGGAGTTCAATGGCGCAATCTTAGTTTACTGCAAACTCTACCTCCTGAGTTCAAGAAATTCTCCTGCCTCACCTTCCTTAGTAGCTGGGATTATAGGTGTGTGCCACCATGCCTGGCTAATTTTTTTATTTTTAGTAGAGACAGGGTTTCACCACGTTGGCCAGGCTGGTCTTGAACTCCTGGGCTCAAGCGATCCTCCCATCTTGGCCTCCCAAAGGGGTGGGATTACAGGCATGAGGCCCCACGTCCAGCCTATGCCTGGATTTTTGATCCATAGGAACTGTGAAATAATAAATAGGTAATTGTTTTAAGCCACTAAACTTGTGGTAACTTGTTACACAGCACAGAAAACTAATATAAACAATTTTTTATAATTTTTATTCCTAAGAACAAGGTAACTCTATCATTAATCACTGTACTGAGAAATTAAACACCTAATTTCTATCGGGTCTATCGGGTCTCCACAGGCAAAGAATTTTGAACTTCTGTTTATGTGGCTGAAGCAGATAAAAGGCATAATCCTCAAAGCTGTACAATTTCAGGTATGGCTAATTCACATCAGTAAGTTAAAAGGAGCAGTCCCTGCTCATATTTACTCAGTTAAAAACACAGAAAGCAACTGTCAAATCCACACTTACCAAATGAACAGGTTAAAAAAAAAAATCCTCAAAAAACACTGAGAATATACAGAACAATCAGAGTTGTGGGAAGTTTCCAGTAACTGAGGATCATGCTGCCTTCCCCTATAGACTACACTCAATCATTTCCTGTTTTTCTTAATCCTAAAAGCACAGTGTTTGGCATATAGCAAGTGCTTATGATATGTGGAATAAAATAACTCCACTTCAAAAGGAGAATATCTGAGGCCTAATGACCTACCCAAAGTCATACTGTGTTAATGGCAGAACCACAACTAAGACAAGGTCTCCTCTCTGTCAATCAAGTGCTTTCTTTCTATGTCAGAGTTCAGTCCTTAATTATTGTCAAGCCTTATTAAATACACATACCACACGAATCATTAACTGAGTATTAAAATTCAACAGAATTTTTCATAAAATTAATTCCATCTGCCTCATTGTGTTCTTATCATTTATGGTACTCAATAATTAACAATTTTCTGCTCTACATAAACTAGAAAATGAAATGATTCTATTGATCTGAACGAGTAATTGTACCTTTTACTTTTCTGAGGCATTTATTAGACTAATATAGGAAACAACAATCTCTTCCCAGAATAATCAAGAGGAAAGAATCAAAGTAGTTAGTGCTACCCTTTAAGATGGAAAGGAGCCTGTATTACTGTTTTAAACAACTATCAATCAATCCTAGTAAAAAGAAATATATATATATAAAATGCTTCAAAATGTATGTGCCTCACAGTAGTCTGAATAGTCTCTTTAGTGTGACACCTGCTTGTTCTACTTGGAAACATTTCGAGATAGCTCACCATTAAAAATATTTCAGGTACTAAAAGTTTTATGGTCCCATCTCAATATATACAATTCTTAAAGTCATGTGACAATATTTTAAAAATGTTTAATGTTGATTATATAACCTCTTTACTTTTAAGGGGAAAAAGCCCTTGCATTAATATAAAAATTGCTTATTTTAAGAAACAGGTTCTTACTTAGGAATATAACTAATTTCAAGGAAACATAAGGATTTGCCTTCTTTGCAACTCTTTCATTTTCTTGGCTGAGAAAACAGAAATTGTAGCTAGCAAATGGTTAGCTAGTGGAGTAGGAGGATATCACAGAGAGGCACAAAGTTGGACACTAGAATCTCTGATAATTTCTCTTTATCTATAAAGCAAGAAACTCTAGTTACTTAGTCTGTAGCTGCCAGGTATGAGATGAGGTCAGGGGTTTATGTTTGATGGTGATACTGATGCAGGCTGGAATCTTACTAATATGAGTCTGTACAGGGAGGATCCTATCTCCACACCACTTACCCCTTCTACACGGATTCAGCAATCCTCTTCACATGTGGTACCCAGTTCTTTATAACAAGAAAATAATAAACTTTTATCAATCTAAGAATGTTAAAAAGGGGGAAAGGTTAAGGGTTTATTTCCATGACCTATTTCTTATGTTGCTATTGCCAAATATACATCAGCAGGTTTCTCAAGTTAGCTGTAATAGGACAATCGAAAAAGAGAAGGGAGAGAATTCTCACACAAGTCATCATCACCAAAGGTGAATTAAGAGGACTTACTGTTAAGGAAGCAATCCCCTTGTGATAGAATTTTAAAGACTCAGCAATGCAAGAAAGTGCTGAACTATAGTTTTCCTCTTGCAACCCAGTGAGACACTGCTCTGCATGTGAGAACTCCTTCAGACTATTTAGCCAGAAGTAGAAGTGTTCTGAGGCAACCTGAGTCAGCAAACTCTGATAAAGCTCTTTGGCCATGTCATGATTACCCTAAAAACAAAAAACATAAAGAAAAAAAACAGGAGCACATGGTGAGGTTCTTATATTTGAAAGAGTTGAGGCAGCAGCTAACAGAGAAACCCAAACCTTGCATAAGTCTGAACAATCATTTCTCATATTATATAATTCTCTGAGACTCTGTCTAAATATTTCTTCAGAGAAAATATGCTGAGTTGCTTTTATGTAACATAATGCTTGAAATTCTTTACTAAAGCAGTTCCAAAGAGAAAATGAATGGAATTAACTATAAACCAAGTCTAGAACTTTAGCCCAAAATACAGAAAGTATAAATGTTATTCTGGATGAACTATTTAGTGGGTGAGAGAAACCCCAGGGGAGAAGGCATAGTTGTTGGGAGAAATGTAAATACCAGTTAATGCCTGGGGCCAGGGATGCTCAATGTCCTGCAATGCTTGAGACAGATCAGTATAATGAAGAACTGTCCTGCCAAGAGTGTGTGCTTCTCCCCCATTTGAGAAGCAATGCAAAATTAAGAACATGCACTTCAATCACCTAGAGTAATGCTTTCTCAAACTTTGGTCTCTGGACTTATCCCAAAAGGAATTTTTTAAATATATTTTAGTAGAGACAGGGTTTTGCTATGTCAGCCACGCTGGTCTCAAACTCCTGGCCTCAAGAGATTTTCCCGCCTTGGCCTCCCAAAGTGCTGGGATTACAGGCGTGAGCCACCCCACTGCTGGCTAGGATTTCTGTACTAACCAAGGTTTCTATTTCCTCTCAAACAAAATTAATAAAGCTTGTTAGACTTTCCATATGGCTCAGAAGAGTACAGCATACTAAAGCTCTCCCATTTCTACTTAAGAATGACAAGGTTCGGGGGAGGAACAAAGATGTGGTATACTGAGAAAGACAGACAGAAACAGCAGGTGGTAAGTGGCCTTGGTTAGGACAACACAGAGCAAAATGAAAGTAGCACTAGCAACCTACAACCAGAAAGGGCCCAGATTTTAACTTCCTCATTACTAATAACAATATATATACCATTCATTTATGATAAAAGTTAAAAATCAGGCCCTTTCCTTCCTCATCTTCAGAACCCATGACTAAAAGGTACTTCCACCTTTATTTTTAGTTTGACTATGATTAATAATCATATAATTGAAGGTACATGACCTGACATTTCCACCAACCCAATTCACTCAGAAAGGTAACACATACCATTCTGGAAGCCTGTCTGGCAATACGGTATACAGTCCATCCATTGGAGACACTTTCAAGTTGCTGCTTAATCACTGCCTTTACTTCCACAGATAATGCCTTCTGACTTGCTACAAAAATCACAGTAGCCAAACTCACCTAACATCGGGCAAGTAGAGAACCAAGAAAATAATTTAATTTTATCCGGTGTCATACATAACCTACCCCAAAGAGAGGAAAACTAATTACAGCCCACTGCAAAAGAACAAAATTTGTTTTCCATTGATATTTAATTTTTTATTTTGAAGTCATTAAGTAATGTATTCTGTTCACTCAGAGCACTCTTTATAACAGCAAATAACTAGAAGCAATGTCCATAATGTGGATACATACATTAAATAACTTATAATCCACAATGAGATACATAAGTAAAATGGATAAACTAGATATATTTACCAATATAGATGACAAGCAAAATAGGCAAGAATATGCAAAATGCAAAAGATTACAAGTAGTATAATGTTTATATACAATTTAAAATATGCAAAATAATACTGAATATTACTTAGGGATATACACTTTGGTAGTAAAAGAATAACAGGCATGAGAACGAGAAATACCCAAATTCAGGATAGTGGTTACCTCTGAGAGAAGGCAGGAGACGCTATCAGCAAGGTACACAGGGGGCTTCAACTAAACAGGTAATATCTTTTTCTTAAGCTAGATAATGAATGCAAGAGTTTTCACTGTATTATTCCTTAGATTTTTTATCTTAAAGTGGTACTCACAAAAAGGATATAAGGGCCGTTAGTTCAAAATACAATTTCAATAAAAAATAAACTTAGCTAACTGCCTGTTAATATTTCAAAGCTGATTCATATAAAGATCCATATATATTTTAATAACTGTATGATGTCATCCCCTTGACCACAGCCACCTGGTCATCAAGGTAACCTTTTCTAGCAGCAAATGATAAGATGGGGTCAATCTTTTATACAATTCCCTCTGGAGGATTAAAACAGGCTTGAATAAGTCATTTCATTATGTTTTTTCCCACATTCTACATTCAGATGAACGGAACAACATAGAGTGGCGACCTTACAACTTTCATTTCATTTACAACTATTTAGAATGTACCCTACTCTCAGTCCTGAAGAACTTTTCAACTAAACATTTTACAACTTCCATAGTTTCTGTTTCTTTCTAAGCATCTACCTTTTCTAATCCCAAGGGTCTACAGAAGCCTAAATGGGATCCTAAATAGCTAAAGAGGTCCTGGAATGAAAAACATAAATTTGGGCTAATCAGTCTCTTTCCTTCTTATTATCATTAGATTTTTAACTTCTATTTTCTGAAGTATAAAACAGGGTTTAGTTCATTATTTGCTTTGTATGAGAAAGAAAAAAGTTCCATTTTCATTTTGTCCTTTGTAATAAAATAAAAACATGAGATTGAAGGCTTTGGCTACACTAAGCTGATTTGACAAGGCTTAGGAAGAAAGCACTTTTAGAGGCGAACAAAAATGGCTTTCTAAATCAAAAGTGAAAAAAGTGAAAAGCTCATAGAGCCAATTCTATTTTGACATCGACACACTCTTTAGTCTTAATGAATTTAACCTATTGTTTGTTTTGTTTTTTAAGTAAAGCCAAACAGTAATGTTGATTTAAAAGTAATCCCCACAAGACCAGAGCCTAGTCATTCACAGGAGATTCAAAATGGGGCTTTTTACCAGAAGTTCTTGTTGCTTGTCTGTGGCTGATCGTCCAATCACCTTGTACAGTTCCATAAGGTCACCAAGCATCCCATCACCCAGCACCGGCAGCTGCATGGCAATGGCTGCCAGACAGTGGCACATCAAAATCCGGGCAGCATCCTGAGCACTGTGCAACTGAGTCAACAAGGTCTCAACCACTGTCTGACTAAGATGGGGCCTGCCCTTGGCCAACTTCACCATACAGTTTAGAGCAATCTGCATGCCAAAAAGAAAATGAACTAGTTACACTTGGAAGATATAAATGAAGCTTTGAAGAGAAGGGCTTTGTACAGGTTACTGGGGGAAATCAAGGGCGAGGTTTCTTGTAGGTGTACATTTTTCTTCACAAGATACACGAAGTACTGAATCCCACATTAGGGTTTGTGAAGTGCAAAAGGAAAAGCATAGTTAATAGAAGTAAGAAATTGTTAGATAAACATTGGTGCACATAAGAGCATTACCTTATCATAGGTATGGTTTCAAGGAAGTCATGGCTCATTTTAGCATGTTAAGGAAAGTAGTGATGTGGTCATAGTGATAAATAATAAAGATAGTAATATCATTAAGTGAAAGTTAATAAGAAGTGGAGAAGGAGGACAGACATGGTGGCTCAGTCCTGTAATTCCACCACTTTGGGAGGCCGAGGCGGGTGGATCATGAGGTCAAGAGATTGAGACCATCCTGGCCAACATGGTGAAACCTCATCTCCTCTACAAAAATACAAAAACTAGCCGGATAAGATCGCGCGTGCCTGTAGTCCCGGCTACTCAGGAGGCTGAGGCAGGGGAATCATTTGAACCCAGGAGGCGGAGGTTGCAGTGAGCCAAAGATTGCACCACTGCACTCCAGTCTGGTGATAGAGCAAGACAGTCTCAAAAAAAAAAAAAAAGAAGAAGTGGAGAAGGGAAGTAGCAACATATGTTTGGCAACGCATTCTTAGGGGATCCTCAGAATCCCCTTGGAACCACGATACATTTAAAACTTTATTTTAAGCAAATCATTTTTCAACAATTGTGGGTGTCAGTAAAATGCTGGAATCAGCACAGTGGGACATACATAGATGACCAAGAAAGATTCCTGTATTAGAGGAGCTTCCCATCTACAATAAGCTACTGATGTTTATAAAGGGGCCTGTAATATCAAGCGGAACACAACACATTCTCTGACAGTACACCAAAAAAGTGCATAAAGGTCAGAGTCAGGAGTGATTAACTTTAACCAAGGATATTAGGGAAGACTTCAAATAAATGTCATGAGTTGAGTCTTGAAAGATGGCATCAAATTACAGTAATAAGGAAAGATTGTTTGAGCCCAATGACCACTGTTACAAAAGACTTGAAAGTAAGAATTTACCTGTTGTGGTGGAAAAATGGTGAGGAGCCCACTGTGGCTGGGTGAAATAATATGAGATTTGAAAAGTAGTTCAATCATAGAGGATATCAAATAACATGCTATTATGGCATTGATTCTATAGGTAATGAGGTGATAATAGGATTTTAAAGTAATAGTAACATTTGTCGTAATAATTATTGTTATTTGAATGTCCATTATGTGCCAAACTTTGTTGAAGACATATATACATTTCTTTCAGTCCCTCAATAACCCTATAATGAAATGTGTTCCCCTCTTATACACATCAGAAACTTAAGCTGAGAGAGATGTTCAAAGCCACCTAGCTAATAAGTAATAAGGGGCAAGCTGATCGTCAGCCCTTGGACTTATCAGACTCTAAAGTTTATGTGTGCACCTAACACCCAACTGATGGCTATATGGCTGTATTGTGAAGGATGGATTGATGGGTCCATCTTTTCAAGAAATTGGAATTAGGGAGAGATTTATGGTGTGGTAGAGAGGATGGAAAGGCGCTAACAGTGGATATTAGAGACTTGACAGAAGAATCTGTTAGCTATGTAAAAGTGGGACTATTTCTAAGATTCTAGTTTTTTGGCTGGATATTAGTAATGCCCTTAACAAGGCCTTGGTAAAAGAAATTCTGTAGCCAAATTGGTTTTTAGATTTCAGTTGAGAAATAAGAGAAAATTAGGAACTTCTTTCCCACTTTAATGTATTTAGAGTTATCCAGATAATCTTTTTAAAACTGTGAACCCTCAGTAGCTCCAGCATGCACGCACACACACACACACACACACACACACACACACACAGGTACGTTAATTCATTAGGGTAGGGCCCAGGAATCTATATCTTTATTTTCATTCTGGAAGATGCTGGTATAGTTCACAAGCCACACTTCAGAAGCAGTTCCTGAAAAGTTATGATAGTACAGTGTTGGTGACATTTGGCCTGTATTTGCCTCTTTGGCATTCTTCCTTATGATTTCCAGCTTTCTTAAAAGTATTTTAATAGTCTTGGATTGAAATGAGTGGGTTGACATGCAGTCCTAATTTGTAATTTTAAACAAATTAATTTCCTTTGTTATTAATCTTTGGACCATCACGAGTTGTAGTTCATGTTTCATTCAAAAAAGAGTAGTCTCATTTCACATCTTAAATTTTTTTTTTTTTTTTTTTTTTTTTTAGACAGGGTCTCACTTTGTCACATAGGCTGGAGAACCGTGGTGCAATAATGGCTCACTGCGGCCTCAACCTCTGGGGCTTCAGCGATCCTCTCATCTCATCCTCATGAACAGCTAGGACTATAGGTGTGTCCCATCATGCCCTGCTAAATTTTTAAAAATTTTTCTAGAGATGGGGTTTCACTATGTTGCCCAGGCTGGTCTTGAACTCCTAGGCTCACACAATGCTTCGACCTTGACCTCCCCAAAATGCTGGGATTACAGGTATGAGACACTGTGCCTGGCCTCATTTCAAATTTTAAAAATCTTACATATCTCTAAGATGATTTCTGTAACTAAGTGAAGGTGAAAATTCTTTAAAATATCCTTCCCTTGGCTTATAAACTAGGGCTTATACCAATGGAAATTAATGAACACTTATGTTAAATTAATGAACATTTACGAGTTCGAATGCAGTCATTTAATCAATTTTTTTTGTGGTTTTATCAGTTAGATTTAATCACTTAGATTAAAACTTCTAAGAGTACAAGAGCTCTGGTCTGCTTAACTTTGCTTTCTATTGTCTAAGACCATCATATATACCTATTACAACTTAATAAATAGAAGTTTTCACCTTTAAAGTGGCCTGAGCCCCTGGACTATCATCTTGACTGCAAAGTACCAGTAGGGATTCCAGGCCAAAGACAGCATCTTGTTCCAGTGCCAAAAGATCTAGAAGAAAAACACTAAGCTTTATGATGGTCAAGTGATGTGTGTATAAACACACACATACATATATACACATACACACATACTCTCCGAAAAAACATTAAGAAGTTTAAGATACAGGAAATTATTAAATGTATAAAGTTAACCTTCCTTGAAAAAGTACATGTGGCATTACTTCCGGAATGTAAAGTCTATCTTCAGACTTTATTTCTACCACTTTATTGAAGATTATAAAAATACACACATTAAATCAAAAGCTAAAGCCACAAAGCTATAAATAAACCAAAACTGAAATAGTGTCACCAGCTCAGCTAAGGAAAATACTAAGAACAGCAAAGTATGCAGGATGTGTTAATCTCCCTAATCAGAAATAAATTATACAGGTCCATTTTTACCTAAGATTTAACAGTTTTCAGGTTCTAATGAAAATTGAACCACTTTTAGGAAATAATAAAAACTCCGCCTTATTAATGTTTTAAGTCCGACCATAAAGAATGAACCTCTTAGATGTCTCATGAAATAAAAGTACTACAACATCTTTTCACTCCCATAGGGCTAAAATTTCTCAAAGGTTTTTAGAAAGTTCTGAATATATTAGTCACCTTTAGGTTAATATATTTCAGTGTTGACAACATACAGCAGTTTTCTGTGTTACATGTGAGAAAATACTCTTTGCTATGCCAAATATAAAACAGGCTTAATTATCTAAATCAGAATCAACATTCAACTTTAAGAAGTGTTTCCTTAGTGTAGGAGCTTGGCAAACAGAGTAAAGGCTAGTGAAGGTCAGGTTGCTGGAAAAAAACAGGTGCTAGGAACAAGCAGTGCTAAAGGCTAGTGGGGATAAAGGGAACCACTGAGCTTGTAATCCTTAATAAAGATCAAAATCAGCACTGAAACAGATGGAATATCTAAAATGCATTTCTTGTTCTTGAACACAAGCATGAAATTTTTCAAGTGCTTAGGTCAAAAGATGTTAGGTAGACAACAAAATATGTGCATTATTTTCCCTGCATGTCCTCCTTGATTACGCAAGTCAGTTTAATGCCATATATACCTAAATTCTGTGAAAATTTAATTCACATTGGCCTGTGAATTCACTTGCCTCTAGGTGAAACTATTTGTTTTTTAAGTCCCTTGAGAATCTAAGTAAATTTTCTAGGTTTCTGTATAAGTGAACACAATACCTTATACAAAAGGGGTAGAGTCCTAAGCAATCTCTATCCACCAGCACCATATATGCAAAGGTAAGCAGTGGGAGGAAATGGGCAATCCTCCATAAAACCTTTCAATTCCACTGCTGGGCGCGGTGGCTCAAGCCTGTAATCCCAGCACTTCGGGAGGCCGAGGCGGGCGGATCACAAGGTCAAGAGATCGAGACCATCCTGGTCAACATGGTGAAACCCCGTCTCGACTAAAAATACAAAACATTAGCTAGGCATGGTGGCGCGTGCCTGTAATCCCAGCTACTCAGGAGGTTGAGGCAGGAGAATTGCCTGAACCCAGGAGGCGGAGGTTGCGGTGAGCCGAGATCGTGCCATTGCACTCCAGCCTGGGTAACAAGAGTGAAACTCCCAAGGTCTTCATCCCTTTATTATTTTTCACAAGGATAGAGTAGTCTTGAGAACATATGCTCTAACAACACTTTGAAAAGAGTCAATTTGTAGATCAAAGTACACAGGCTAAAAATAGGGGATTAAAAAAAAAACAAACAGAATTCTGTCCAAGCTCTAAACCAAAGTTTATATATAATATCAGTCCTGATCAAACTTACCTTTTTCTTGACAAGAAACAGTTATATTAGTTAGGACTCTAACTCCATGAGCTGCAATACCCCTGTTATTATGGTAACAGCACTCTTGGGCTAATTTGACTAAATCAGAAGATCTGGGAGAAGAACTCACATTTCCTAAAAAAGAAGAGAAAAGTAGTAGAGACTGTAATCAAACAGTTCAAAAGGAGTTCAGCTTATATGTTCAATTTTCTTAATTTTTGAGAAAAATTTCTAACAATAAACTTCAATGAAATTTCCTACCACAATCCCACTATCAATATATATCAGCATTCCTCTCCCCCATTAAAGTACTTAAAATAGGTATGTGCCAACAGTTTTGTAATGACTAAAATCTAAAATCAACATAGAATTTCTTTAAAAAATACTAATAAAAATTGACTAATAGTACAAAAGCCAAAACAACTATTCTAAGAGTTCAAATGAAATCTGATTGAAACAGCTAACATTATAGGCCACTTGTCAGACAAAACCATACCTTTAAGATAGGAGAGAAAAGAGAAAAATTTTTAAGTTTGCTTTTTTTTCCCCCAATCTCAGATTGCTGGCATACATTTATGCCTCAAAAGGCTTACATAAGAATTCATGATTTTAGAGTTGGAAAGGATTTTGGTATCATCTGATTTAACACATCCTATTTTTACAGATGAAATCAAAGCCCAAAGCCCAAAAATTTTAAGAATCTTGCCATTAAGGTCATACAATTTATTAGTCGTGTACTAATGCCCCTGTTATTCTACCCTTGCACTTTATACCTTAAGTTCTATGCTAAAGATTGCAGCAATTTTTAAAATTCCAATTTGAAATTCTGGAATGCAAGGTTCATGTTATAACTATTTTAATTTGCAGTAGAGAAGATCTCAGTTGTAACTGAATAAGCTTCAAGAAAATAAGATTAGAGCTTGTTCAGGTACTTAAAAGAGTCTACCATTCCTGTCTTCCTTTCCTCTGCTTATTTTTCCATGATTCCTGTCAACTTCGTCTCTTATACTAAAGGTGACTGTATTTTTTGAGGCTGAAAGGGACACTATTAAGAACTGCAATAGGCATAAACCATAAATATCCAAGGCAATGTGGGACATATGGTCACTTTATTGGTTTCTGGTTTAATATAATACAAGCTTAAGAGAGAGCCTCAGTGTTTTTTGGCTTTTTATTTGTTTTGTTTTGTTTTATTGAGACGGAGTCTCACTCTGTTGCTCAGGCTGGAGTGTAGTGGTGTGATCATGGCTTACTACAGATTGCAGCTCACGACAGTTTCAAACTCTGAGGCTCCAGCAATCCTCCTACCTTAGCTTTTGAGTAGCTGAGAATACAGGTGCATGCCATCATTCCCAGCTAATTTTTTTGTTTTTTTGTAGACACGAGATGTTGTTTTGTTGCTCAGGCTGGTCTCAAACTCCTGGCTTCAAAAGATCCTCCCATCTTAGCCTCCCAAAGTGTTGGGATTACAGATGTGAGCCACCATGCCTGGCCCCTTCAAGTGTTTTTAAGTTAGGCAAAACATTAGAAAGCTAAAACTGTATCTTTATTTTTTCAAACCTGTGGAAATTGTATTTCCTCTATTCTTTTTGTCCATGTGATGTGGACAATGCAGGTCATCTATAAATTTACAAACGTTTTATAAATGGTTTTTTCTTTGTTTTATTCCTATCAACACTCACCATAGAAAACTTAGGAAAAAAAATAAAAAACAGAAAAATCCAAAGAACCACACAAAAATCACACCAAATCTCACAAACGAGCATGAACTTATTGTTAACTTTCTGAAATATTTCTTTTAAATCTTTCTCTCCCTATGTAAAATACAATTTAAAAACTCACACACAATCAGGATCTGTAGATACTGCAATATCCTACTTTTAAAATATAATTTTTTTAGCATTTTCCTGTGTTTTCTAGGAATAAAATTAATTTAATTTTTAATTATTTAGTAATGATTTTCTAAGATAAACTCACATGGCTTATAAGGTACAACAAAGAGTAGAAAACGGTAAAAAGCTAGAGAGAAAAGTTTTCCTCACCCACCCAATGTTATCAGCTTCTTGTGTATTATTTCAGAGGGTCTACAAATTTACAAGCACATCTGTTCCTTTTTCTTTTTCACATACTATTTTGCACCTTGTTTTATTTCTCTTTAAATATTATATCATGGAGACTGTTCCATGCCATATTTTCTTTTTAGTAAATTGCATTGATTTTTATTGCAGTGATGTGTCATAATTTCTTTGAGTCCTCTTTGATGCACCTTTTAATGCTATTATATCCTCTAATGATGGATAATATTTTGCTATTATATAAACTGGTACTAAGAATTATCTTGTATATATGCCATTTCTCAATGTGTGATACATAGATAAGATAAATTCCCAGAAGTGGAATTTCTGGGTTATCTGTAATTTAATGAGTATTTCTAAATCACCCATGTACAAGTTTAATAATTTATATTAGTAGCAGCAATGATTGCTTACCCACACCCTCGTCAACACAGCATGTTTATCAAACTTCTACATCCTTGCCAATCTGATAGATTAAAATTATTTCAGTATTGTTTTAATGTGCATTTTCTTAAACATGTCTGATAGTGAACATCTTAGATATCTGAGCCATTTGTTAGTGATGATTTAGACACACTAAATTTAAGTTTGCTTTTTAAACTACTTTTGGCTACACTGAAAAAACCTAATCAACCAAAATAAACTTAAAGATTTACTGTTACTTATGGAAATAATCTAACTTTGGAAAATACTTGACTTTTATTTTTTATACATATTGTCTATTTATTTAAGCCTTTGCTTAATTCCATATATAAGCCAAAATTAACAAACTTCAATAAAAGGACAAATATCTGGCTTGAAAAGGTGTCTGAATATTATAACCCAGCATAATACTAATACATATCTTTGGAATTAAAAAATAAAGAAAAAGAAAGTTATCGTGCATGTAGGTCAGTTTGGTACCAAAAAAAAAAAAAAAAAAAAAATTCTGAGTCAGACCACCGAATTCAGGCGTAGGCTCAGACACTTCATAAGTATGTGAACTTCGAACATACTGTCACACATCTATAAGCCTCAGTTTCAATACTTACAAACTCCTTTGCATATGCCTCACTTGAAAGGCTACTTGCATGGGAAAGCTCTCATCTATTATAATACATGATTAAGACTTTGCCTACCATGGCTCTTTCAAAGTGCAATGTTGGTCGTGGACGTTAACTGCAAGCTAAGAAACAGACTGGCTGATTTAGGCAGAAAAAGAATTGAAAGTACACTAGGTATACAGTAGGTTGTTTATAACGAAGGCTGTGATAATCTCTCACGTCCCTTGTGGACATGCTCCTTTATCATGTGATTTTCCAATTCCATGTGACTTGCTTTGGCCAATAAGGCACTGGAAAACATGCTGCAAGTGAAAGGTTGACAAGTGCTTGTGTGTTGGTGGCTTGCTTTCTTTTGGATCCAGCCAACATCCTGAAAACAAGCCCAAGCTAGGTCACCAAGAGTCACATGGATAAAATCTAAGGTGCCTCAGCAGAAAGCCTTTCAACTTCTAGCATGTGAATGAGGCCATCTTTGACCATCCAGTCCTGGTCAAAGCTTTACATGACTGTAGTCACATGAGTCACCCTAGGGTGAGGCCAAAAGGACTCCCCAGCTGAGCACAAAATTGCTGATTGACATAATTAGAACAAATAAAAAGGTCATGGTTTTAAGCCACTCAGTTTGGGGTGATTTTGTTATGCAGCAATAGATAACTTATAATGTACTTCACACAATCACTGGAAAGCCTGCAAAATTAATAGGAAAACAAGGTCAGAAAAAAAAATAAATAAGAAAAAGGCCAGAGACCAACCAAGACCACAGCCCAAAAGACCATGCATGGAATTAGTCCAGTGAGGACATGTCAGCCATTGTTACTGATTATTTGATGTCACAGCTTAACTTCTGTCACTGGGTACCAGACATAGCAAACACACACGGCTAGAATGTATTCTGGAAACGAATGTTGCTCTGTCATTGCTATATCACCATATCCCCATATCCCCATTCTCCTGTATCTCCACTTCCTTGTTGTTACTGGCTCCAAATTCAGTCTGTGGCATGGAAATGATTAGTTGAGTCCAGGCCACATGTGTGCCCACTAGCTGGAGGGGAGGTGTAACAACAGAGTATCAGGTCTTTTTAGCTTCCTATTAAGACTTAAATGGCAGGGAATTCCCTTCACCTAGAAAGTAAATTCATATACTATGCAGCCATAAAAGGGACAAACAAATGTCCATTTACAGTTCTGTAATTCAAATTAACTGACTACAAAAGAAGCAACAGAAGTTTCACCAAACTTGCATTAAAACAAAACAACCAGCCCAGATGCAGTGGCTCAAGGCTCATGTAATCCGAGCACTTTGGAAGTTCAAGGTGGGTGGATCACTTGAGGCCAGGAGTTTGAGACCAGCCTGGGCTACATGGTGAAACCCCATCTCCATTACAAATACAAAAATTAGCCAGGCATAGTGGCGGGTACCTGTAGTCCCAGCTACTTGGGAGGCTGAAGCAGGAAAATTGCTTGAACCCAGGAGGTGGAGATTTCAGTGAGCCAAGATCACCCTATTGCACTCCAGCCTGGGCGACAGAGTAAGACTCTGTCTCAAAACAAAACAACAACAACAAAAAACCCCAAAAGGAAAAAAAAGGTTAGCCTTAAGTCTGTTAGGTAAGCAAGCTCCTTACTGGGCATTAATGAAAGCATTTTAGAGTTAATCATCTTGAACAGGTAACTAGGAAAGCATTATTGAGCTGCAGTAAGGTTTTATTTTATTGTTTTCCAGAGAAATAATAAGCACCTAAAAGGAAGCATATGACATTTGCTCTTAAAACTCACCACCACTTAACCTTTGAAATGTACTTAAATTCAAAGGGCACTTTGAGTCAGAGATACACAAAGGCAAACCAACTATTTTAAGCATCCTCAAAAATATCTTCACCCACATATAATTAAAAAAAAGTACAAACCTAGAAAAATATATTCTTGAGTTAAGATCAAGAATACGAGAGGTTGTTATCATAGGCATTAGTTAAGAAATCATGTTCAAATACATTACTAGCATGTAGTAGAGCAGGGGATTCTGAAACTTTCCCTGATGTTAAAGCTTTACAGAAGAAACAACCTGAAACATAAATATGGATAAAGGAATTAGCACATTATTTATATAGTATCTCCTTTCATTTCCTTACCTGGAACTATACTGAAGTAATGTTTGATGGCGATGGTCCCTGATAGTGTGGAAAGGACAGACAACATCCCTAGTTTTAAGCTGTCATAAGGCGTCTGGAGGGCACACTCACAAAGTGCCTGGAATGTAGAAGAGAAATCAATATAGAAGTTAAAACATCAATATACTTCTAAATCATCTACTCCTTTTACATTTTCTGGCTTTTAGTACAATTATATATTATGGACTTCTTTTCATGTTATAAAACTTAAGTTGAGGCCAGGTGTATTTGGCTAATGCCTGTAATCCCAGCAGTTTAGGAGGCTGAGGTGGGAGGATTACTCTAGCTAAGGAGTTTGAGACCAGCCTGGGCTCAAAGTGAGACCTCGTCTCTACAAAAATTCAAAAAATTAGCTGGGTGTGGTGGTACATGCCTGTGGTTCCAAATATTTGGGAGGCTGCGGCAAAAGGATCGCTTGAGCCCAGGAACTTGCGGCTGCTGTAAGCCATGTTCACACCACTGCACTCCAGTCTGGGAGACAGAGAAAGACTCTGTCACAAAAACAAAAACAAAAACAAAAACAAAAACAAAAACAAAAACAAAAACAGCACTAGGTCAAAATGCCAAACTCCTTAGGGGAGCCTCAGGAGGCAGGATAACTGAACATAAAGTATCCTGATACATAAAAAGGTAAAGACTGAAGAATTATGAATAAAGAAATGAACTTTGGTTAATAATAATAATGTATCAATACTGGTTCATTTATAACAAAAGTACTATATTACTGTAACCTGTCAATAAAAGGAAAATGGTGGGAGAATGTGGGAACCCTGTGTATTATCTTCCCAACTTTTCTGTAAAACTATTCTGAAACCTCCACCATATTTTGCTTAACCTAAGAGGTATGAATATTGGTTCATATATGTGTAATTTTTAAAAATAATGGAGAGTATGGCATTATATCTAGTTTCTAAGTGAATAGAGCTATATTCCTCCCATTTCTGGTCATTTACTCTACTCTTGACCAGGTAGTCTAAAGTATTACCAAAAATAAAGATGCTAGTTTTTCTTTCAATGCAGTGAACTATGAATATATGACCACAGTACAGTGACTCTTGCCTTATCCTTTATCACATGACTCTATCATATGACTGCAGGTAATGTAACAAGTCAAAATAACTCTTTTGTTAAACTGACTTCCATTCTCCCACAAAGACAAAGTTTTCGAAAATAAGCAAAACTTAAAGTCCAGGGAAAAAGTTAAAAATAAAATTTCAGAAAGGATTAAAATAAATTTAATATGACCCTCAGTAAAAATGTCAACAAAATGGCCGTGTGTGGTGGCTCACATCTGTAATCCCAGAACTTTGGGAGGTCAAGGTGGTTGGATCACGAGGTCAAGGTGGGTGGATCACGAGGTCAGGAGTTCAAGACCAGCCTGGCCAATATGGTGAAACTCCATCTCTACTAAAAATACAAAAATTATTCAGGCGTGGTGGTAGGCGCCTGTTATCCCAGCTACTTGGGAGGGTGAGGCAGGGAACTGCTTGAACCCGGGAGGTGGAGGTTTCAGTGAGCCAATACCACACCACTGCACTCCAGCCTGGGCGACACCGCAAGATTCTGTCTAAAAAAGAAAAAAAGGCAACAAAATTGCAAGATAATTTAGATTATCTGATTTTATAGATCACATAGAAAAATAAAAATTAGAAAACATCCAGAAAAACTGGCAAGGAACAGATTCCAATATATACTAGAATTTAACATATGATAACAGCATTTTAAATTAAAGATACCAGTTAATAAAAACTACAAAGACAATTGACCAGTCATCTGGTAAAACAAAACTAGATCCCTGTTTCTTTTTTCACAGCAAACAAAAAATCAAAATTGTAAAAAGTACTATGAGGTAACAAGGAACAATACAAAGTAAAAAGATAACTTGCAAAACTAGAAAAAAATATTCCCATCACATAACATCAATAAAGGATGAAGACCCTTAATATATAAAAAATTCTGGCCGGTCACGGTGGCTTACGCCTATAATCCTAGCATTTTGGGAGGCTGGGGTGGGCAGATTACCTGAGGTCAGGAGTTCAAGACTAGCCTGGCCAGCACGGTGAAACCCCGTCTCTACTAAAAATACAAAAATTAGCTGGGTGTGGTAATGCGTGCCTGTAGTCCCAGCTACTTGGGAGGCTGAGGCAGAAGAATCACTTGAACCCAGGAGACAGAGGTTGCAGTGAGCCAAGATCGCGCCACTGCACTCCAGCCTGGGCAACAGAGCAAGACTCTGTCTCAAAAAAAAAAGTTCTAATAAATAGGCAAAAACTCAATAAAAATTTGGTATTTTGCAGAAAGAATTTACACAAATGCCTTTTAAATAAAAAGTCTAACCTCATTCACACTTTGAAATTTTTAAATTAAAATGTGTCACTTTTTAACTACCACACTAAGGCTAAAGTTTGATAATACGAAACACTGAAGAATATGGGGAAATTGGGGCTGTCACACATTGTTGTTAACGGAGTAAAATGGTATAAATCTCTTTGGTGAGACATTGGTATTAACTCTCAAAAATTAAAAAATATCCATCATTATACCCAGAAATTTCTTTTCTGAAAATTTATGTTCACAAAGGTGATTTTCAACAAACTATTCAATGTAGAAATGTCAACAGTAACAGTCGAAGTATCAGAAACAACCCTAATATCTATCAGTGGGGAACTGGGAATAAATATAAAGGAAGTACCACACAGCTGATTTTAAAAATGCAGTAGATCTAGCTGCTAATATAAGATGTTCCCCATATTAATAAAAGGTTTAGAACATGTGTATAGTATATTTCCATTTGTAAAGAAAAAAGATGGGGCATATACATGTTTGCATATTGGTGCAAAAGTTTAGGAAGGAGATATAAAAAACTATTAACAGTGACCACCTCTGCAAAGGAGGCCTATGAGAAGTGATGACTTATATTTCACTCACTGTATACCTTTGAACTCTAAAATTTTTTTTTCATGTGCATGAATACTTTTTTGACTGAAAGAAAAACCTATAAAAACAGCAGCAGCAGCAAAAATTATCATGAAAGGAATGGAAACAGACCTGAAAGATACAGTACATTTCTGGTAATGGAAGGGAAGACCGTCTAGATAATGCATACACATACTCTGGCAATTAGGCCAGAATATGGGGTGTTTACTTTTGGCCTACAAGGAAATATGTTCAAAAGGATGGAGGCTAAGAAAGGTGGGGGGAATTAGGTCAGATGGTATAGGGCCTTAAAAGTTAAGCAGTCATTAAAACCTGATGAAAAAGGAAAAAAAGAAGCCAGAGGAGAGGAATAACGGCATCTAAAGTGTCAGTGAAGATTATTCTGGCAATGGTAAACAAAACAAGAAAGAGAATTGAGAGTTAAGAACGCAGTAATCCATGCAGGTGGTGGTGATGGCCTGAACTACAACTTGGTGGCAGGAATGGAGACTAGTGAATGAGGATGACAGATATTTTAAAAGAGATTACATATCAAGGAATGAACAAGAAAGATTTAATCATTATTGCCAACTTTCAAACCTAGTAACCAGATTCCATTTACAAAGACTGAAATTTATGGGGGATAAGCCAATTTTAGAAAAAGGACAGAAAACAGGACGAGATGTGAAGTCCAAGAACATACATCCACCAGGCATTTGGAATCTAAGACATAGCAAATTTTCAATTGGAAAACTCACATCAGAATTCTGGGTCTGCCACCTACCATCTCTGTAATCTGAGTTTCAACTTCTTTGTCTGTAAAATGGGGGTAAATCTTTATAAAGAACTGCTGATTTTGTCTGTAAAATGAGGGTAAATATTTATAAAGAATTGCTGATTTGTTCACAAAGGTGATTTTCATAAAAAACACTTCTAGAAAAATATACCAGAAAATGGATACTGGCTGCCACTGGGCAAAGGAGCTGTGTAGATAAGAGAACAGTAGGTGGGAAACAGTCACTATATATCCTTAGGTTTTAGGATTTTGACCACATGAATGCATTGGCATTTAAAAAACTGAATTAAAATTAAAAATCAAATACAAGTCAGGTAACATCTATTGTCTGTAAAATTACAAAGCCACTGAAAGTCAAAGCACTCTGCAACCCATACAGGCTACTATGCTAGAGGGCAATGCAGAAGCTCAGGTAAAAGAACTAGATTGTCGGAGGCCCTGCAAACTGGCATTAAGAAAGGCCATAAGAATGACAGAATAAATGGTAGAAAGCAAGAGAGCCATGGACTCAACTTGGAGGAAAAAGCGCAGTGAATATGGAGAAGGCACAGGTTAGGCAGTGTAACGAATGAGTGAGAACAGTTAAGTGCCAAAGAGGCCAAAAGAAGGGGTAGGTCAATAGTCCCAAATGTAAAGTGCCTAAGCAAAGTGACAGGAAAACAGATCAAAATGCAAGTGTATAAAAGAAAGAGCAGGGGATGAGGAAATAAAGCAGATATAGATGCTGTTTCTGAAGTTCAAAAGAACACATTTTTAAAAAGTGATTATTATTTAATACAATTTATATTTAGTTATTCAAGCACTTAGGCCATTTCCGTTTGTTCACTTTTTGTTACCTAAATTGGCCTGTCTCGTACTGTTAATTAGCTTGTGATTAGAACTAATAACCTAAACCAAATAGCCCCAGAAGTTAGGAACTATGTTCTATATTTATATGTATTCCACATTATGCCTCTATGTATAATATTTAGCCTTCTGTGATAATAAACTAGGCAAGTGAAACATTTTATATAAAATGATAATATTAGTAATTCCAAATCAGAAGAATTTTACGATTAAAAAAACTGAATATTAGATAATCTTGTGATAAAATTATTTACAAAGTTATATTCTGTTTCTGTCATCTAGCACATTATTGGGAATCTAAAGCAGTCTCGGTAAATAAATACTGGTTTAAGCCTGGGCACACAGCAAAGTCCCATCTCTGCTAAAAATTTTTTTAAAATTAGCTAGGTGTGGTGAGGCACATCTGCAGTCCTAAGCTACTTGGGAGGCTGAAATGGGAGAATCACTTGAGCCCAGGAATTTGAGGTTGCAATGAGCTACTATTGTGCTACGGCCAGTCTGGGCAGTAGAGTAAGACCCTG